CATAGAGTACATGCAGATTTTGAGGACGGCGCCGAGGCGCGTGCCTAGAGGCACTCAGCATCGATTGCTCGACCTGTGCCTTCGGCATCTTGTCCTGATGAATTCGTTGGGATATTCATTGCAACCAAAGTCTCATCAATTCGTCCACATGACTCTTTCCATCGGGGTTAAGGGGAACCCCCGATTTTACAACACGTTTCACGACGAAAGTTTGAACTTGATTCTTGCAGGAATCGCTTCAGTGTCGCACCGCGCCACGTGGGAGCGAACAATTTTCCAAAGGGTGCAATTGCTGCCAATTGTTCAGGTCAACTCGTCGTTTGCGCTGTTTTAACTGCATGCTCCGTATTTCCTCCCAATCCTCACCATCCTGGTCTAGATATCCCTCCCCCTCCTCCTCCGCCAGGCTCCCTTCTGCGAAGCCGTGGCTGATGTTGTTACTTTTTCTGCGCAAGCTGGCGCTCTGTGTGCACTGATGTGTGGGCCCTGCAGCTGACCCCCAGATCACCGAATGCCCAGTTTCCAGTGTCGGGGTCTCTCAATCGACTCCATCCCCAGCCAGAGCAAAGCTAGAGCCCTCGAGCACTATTCCTAATGAATGGCCCATGTGCCAAAGGACTTAAATCCGAACAAAACAGTTTGGGGCCCATAGAGCCTCCGCATGGTCCATCCCTGAGCCCCGCAAGGCCCGCTCGAGAGGCTCAAGAGGATAGCCGTATGACATATCTTTGTGGTAGTATTGTGGTAGATGGACGTTTCGCTTGATACATCCTTCAGAATAAACAAGCAGTGACTAGAACAAGCGACCGACTGAAGCGCGCAATATGACCGAACACCCAATACGAAACGAACCATTACAATCTCGGAATCATTGGGGACACGACCGTGCGAAACAGGAATACCACAACCGCCGACAATGCGTCCCCCGCTGATTCAAGAACGCGGATCGCCATGCTTCTTCGAGAGTTCGGGCTTTTATCCAGAGTCCAGCTGACTATTTGGCGGGCTCATGCAAGTCTCTTTTCCTGTATACCCCTCCCCCCTCTCCACCAGTCGGCCATCCCCTTCTCTGCACTGGTGCTACTCATCATCGTTGTCCCCTCGCTCCCCGACTCGAGAAAGATGGCTCGGCGATAGCGCTGGCTCGAGCGATTCAGTGGGCTGTCTGCAGATTTCACGCTGACATATATCGAACGATGGGGGACGAGAAGCTTACAAATCAGGGGGTTCATGATCGCATCAGGGTAGAGGCTAGAAGCTAGAACCAGAGTTTTGGACAGCCTGTGGAGTGCGCACGTCCAGGAACATTCGAGCCCTGACTATAAAAGCTTCAACGATCAATTCGAAAGCGCCCTGGGTAATCTCAGGGCCAGGGCGGCCCGTGTCAAAGCCAAGGCCGAGGCGAAGACAAACCACCCCAACCCCCGCGAGGACCGACCCTGCCTTGAGAGAGTATGTCAAGAGCCAGTTCCCAATTGGCGCTGAGGTGGCTGCACTGATGGACCCGATGGGCAAATCATGGGAAAGGCACGCCTCCAAGGGGCGGGGGAAATCTCGAAACTGGAGGTAACGGATGGGGGTGTTCAGGAGGGATGGGAGGAGAAGATCGGGGGACACGATGCATCCCCCCACGAATCCAGAGGAGCAAACGGAACGACAGAGGACCGCCTCGAGCTCTTAAGAGCTCGAGGCGGTCCTCCCGAACATCGGTTCGATCTGAACGAATCCCATTAATAACGACGATGACAATGATGAGCCGACAGAGGCGAGCGGCACGGCCAGCAGTAGTGGGGCCCACTGAGCCCGCGTAGCCGATTGGAGGGGGGTGGACACAAAGAGGAGGACAACAAAGAGGAGGTAAGACGAGGCGGAACGACCAAGACACGGACGCCATGGCCGTGGCCTCCGACGCTCATGCCTGCATGCATGGAAACATGAGCGTCGGCTGAGACGGACGCGCGTCGAAATCCAAGCTCGACCGCCGAAACAAGCCGTGCCGCCCCCAGCGGAGGACGATGAGCAGGATGAGCAGGATGAGGAGGGGAGGTTGGGGAGAGGAGGAGGAACAGGAGGAGGAGGAGGAGGAGGAGGAGGAAGCGGAGGGGACAGAGGAGGAGGAACAGGAGGGGAAGGGGGAGGAGGAGGAGGAGGAGGAGGAGGAGGAGGAGGAGGAGGAGGAGGAGGAGGAGGAGAAGGAGGAGGGGGGGGGAAAGGAGGAAAAAACAGGCGGAGGAGGAATACGAGGAGGGGAGGCAGGAGAACTCATGAGGGGAAAGGGGGAGGATGACGAACACAATGAGGATGAGCAGGATTTTGTTTTGCAATAGCGCTGTACACGCACAGCGCCGCTCCCATCGGGAACGATGTGCCACGAGGCTCACGGCACAACAGCAAACGCCAGTTAACATGAATCGCCGCGGCGCGCAGCATGCGAGCCTATAGCGCATCGCGCGCGACGGAAACACAGCACACACACACACACACACTGCGCGCGTTGTACTCGTGGCGCTGGGGAACATCGAACATGAGAGCCAAAACCAACGGCACATGGAGCGATACGCCGCTCGGCGTAGCAAATCAATAACACCACAACGTCATTGACAACACAATTAGCAACAACGACGATAACGGCACACCAGCAAAAACACCAGCAACAACAACGGCAGCACCTGCGACAAACGGAGGGATCAGTCAGATGCAAATGGCGCGCTGAGAAGTCTGCCGGTTGACAACCCACACGCCTGACTAAGCGGAACCCACGTAACAAACGCAAGATCCCGCGCGATTGCATCAACAACTGTCTCTGCGTGAAGAACTCCGCGGCAACGACGCGGAAATGCGACCAACAAGGGAAACCAGAAATCAGAACTTTCTCATTTACAACAGTGAAAGCAAGAATTCTTGTTTTCTAAGAAAAGAAAACAAGAAAAAACTCCTCTGGGATGGGCCTCACCGTGGCTATCATCTTGTTGACTGCCGCCTTGGACGGCTGGTGGAGTGCCTGCTCTTGCCACGGTGCTCGACTGGCGCTCCTCGGCCTTCTCGCCCATGCCATCTGGATACGCTGATTGAAATGAGTACCGCACTTGCAGTTCCACTTCGTGATTGGCACCTTTTCCCCACACTGGCACCTCCATCCCGAAATCCGCCGACCCCCTGGGTCATCGGCGTGTGAGATGCTACCCCCTCCCCAAACCCCTCCCTGGGGAACCCGGTCCGGTCGATTTGGAGGGGGGGGGGGGGGCACCACGAGCGACTCACGACGCTCTTCCGGGCCCAAAAAAGCCCAAATACGGGCCAAAAAGGCCCCAAGAGGCCTCCCAGACGTTCCAAGAGGCCCCCAGACGCCCCAAGAGACCGCCTAGACGCCCTAAGAAGCGCCCAAGAGGCCCCAAGAGGCTTCCAAGACGCCCCACGAGGGCTCCAAGACGCCCGAAGAGACCTCCAAGACGCCCCAAGAGACCTCCAAGAGGCCCCCGAGGAGCGCCCCAAGAGGCCAAAATCGTTGATTTTCATTTTTTTTTTCGATGTTTTCGTCATTTTCGCCTTTTCGGCCTTCCGACGCTCCAAGACAGCCCAAGAAGCTCCCAAGACTGCTCCAAGACGGCACAAGAGGCCTCCTCGACGCCCCCAAGACGGCCCAAGAGAGCCCCCAGACGGCCCAAGAGCCGCCCAAGGCGGCCCAAGAGAGCCCCCAGACGGCCCAAGAGCCGCCCAAGACGGCCCAAGAACCTCCCGGAGACGGGCCCAAGAGGGGCTCCAGAGAAAGAGACCACGCACCGGAAAACCCAGCCTTACGTCCCGAGAGGCCCCCAGGAGGCCCCCAGAGGCCCCAAAGAGGCCCCAATAACCCCCCAAGAGGCCCCCGAGACGTTCCAAGAGGCGCCCAAGAAGCCACAAAGAGGTCCCAAAACGGCCCCCAAGAGCCTTCGAAACTGCCCCAAGAGGCCCGCAAGAAGCCCCCCCGCAAGATCCCAACAGACATCCCTGAACACACCGGTTTTTCGAGTCGCGCCCAGCCCCATAACCCGGAACCTCGTCTCAGTGTCCCCGTCCTCCTCCTCTTCCTCCTCCTCCTCCTCCTCCTCCTACACTTCCTCCTCGTTCCCCTCCTCCTCTTCCTGCCCCGCTTCAGCTCATCCTCACCGATGCTTCTCCCCCCCATTTCCCGCCTCACCCCCCCTCCTCCTCTCCCCGTCCTCCCTTTCTGCCCAGTACGCGCAACCGATTGGGCATCATTTGCACGTCTTGCACTTTAGGGTGCCCTTCTTTGCGTCGCGCGGGACATTGTGAGGGTCGGGGAACGCCGACTTTGGTAGTCCTCTCTTACACGCGCCGCTGCACTGATAAGCCTGGCAACTGCGCGCTGTGAGCCCGAGTTCCTCGCAGCTTCTGCACGCCAGTTTAGCTCCTTTCGCCGCTCGATGATGTTCCACTTGCTTCTGCTTCAAATGTTTCGTGTCCGAGAACGCGCCTTTGCACGCCGCGCACGTCAGCGGCTTCGCGTCAGCCTCTGCTTTCCGCTTGCGATTCTCTGCGTCCGCCTTCTCGTTCCGCCCACCCTTCTCGTTGCGGGCGCGCGCCCTGCAAAGCCTCTCCCCCGCATCTTTCGCATCGTACTGGTTCGCCGCCACTTCCGCCTCCGTCTTCAAGAAATTCTTGCACTTCGCGCACCGAATCTGGACTTTCTCCTGAATCTGAGAGGCCTCTGAACCACAACTCAGGCACGGTGGCGGGATGGGCCGACTATTGGGAGGAGGAGCAAAGGCGACGACGATAGGAATGCAGGGGATAAAGTCGGGCCATGACGCCCCCAAGACGTCCAAGACTGCCTCCAAAAAAAACAAGGGGTCGGCGGTGTGGCGTAAGCCTAAAGAATCTGGCTGGACATCTCCTTCTTGTGCGGCACACCCTGACGACTGTGGTGCGCTCTCAGCACTTGCTTGGCGCTGGCCAAGCGGAGGATGGTACGGTACCAGGACCTGTGTGCTCGTAATCTTCTATGCCAGGCGGGCTCCGCTGGCCTGGAGCCGCGGAACCCAGTCGTGGCCCGGGTTACGGTGTCCCCGACACACCTGGGGTTGGGCCGGCTCTGCCCTTTGCCTGCCCCCTGCGGGCGAAAAGGCAGCTTCGGCCAAACGCCTTGAGCCAAAATGGCTACGGTCCCTCCTCCTCCTCCTCCTCCTCCTCCTCCTCCCCTCCTCTCCTCCTCCTTCTCCTCCTCCTCCTCCTCCTCCTCCTCCTCCTCCTCCACCTCCCTCTCCTCCTCCTCCTCCTCCTCCTCCTCCTCCTCCTCCTCCTCCTCCTCCTCCTCATCCTCCTCATCCGCCACCTCATCCTCCTCCTCATTTTCCTCCGCCTCCCTGGATGCACTGCCACGGTAGCAGGAGTGGATACGTGGACACGGAGGCGAGGCAGGGGGGGGTACACGCTGCGGCCGTTTTAAGACGAAGCCAGGACGAGGAGAAGTTCGGGTGAGAATAATACATCGAGAATCTCTATGATCCCGCTGCTCTGGAAGATGCGTCGGGCGTCGCGGCCATCTAAGAGCGTTCCGGAACGCGTTCTGAGAGCGTTCCAGAACGCTCTGGAACGGACTGATCCTCGTCCTAGCACCGTCCGACGTCTTGCTAGTGCCGTAGGCGTCACGACAGAGGGCTGCCCTGCCACGGCGGCGGGACTCGCCGCAGGCAGCCGAGAGCCCTTGAGTTCGGGCATGCAAACTCACACGGCGTGTCCCCCGCCCCTCGCGGGTGGGCTGATACGAGGCCTGGAGGAGGGAGGGTGCGCCCTGTGGCCCGGAGGCAGGTGCACGAACGAGGGGGGGTGGGGAGGGCAGCTGACGTGTTGAAAGCGAGCGAGGGGGTCATGAGATCTGTGAAGTTCATGCACACCCACGCACCTCTGCTCAGACGAAGCCGGGACCCAGACAGAGTCCGACTGGGACGAATCGAGGACCTCCGAGATCCGTCAGTTCTGGAGGATGCATCAGGCGCTGTGGCCGGTTCCAGAGCGCTCTGGCACTCGGAGAGACAGTTGGCTCCAGAACGCCCTGGAGCGACTTGTCCCCGTCCTGAGCCCGCCCGATCCTCCCCAGGCATGTGATACCTTGATGGCGTCCTTTCTCAGGGTGCTGTGCACTCTGGAGAAAGTGATGGGCGTGTTCTCCACCGCCACCACCGTAAGTTGGAGGGGGGGGTCCTCCTCCTCCTCCTCCTCCTCCTCCTCCTCCTCCTCCTCCTCCTCCGCCATCTCCTCCTCCTCCTCCTCCTCCTCCTCCTCCTCCTCACTCCTCCTCCTCCTCCTCCTCCTCCTCCTCCCTCCTCCTCCTCCTCCTCCTCCTCCTCCTCCTCCTCTCCTCCTCCTCCTCCTCCTCCATCCTCCTCCGCCTCCTCCTCCTCCTCCTCCTCCTCCTCCTCCTCCTCCTCCTCCTCCTCCTCCTCCTACTCCTTCCCCCCTCCAACTTATGATGTTGGTGGTGGAAAACAGGCTCATCAGAAGGGGTTGCGGATCGCGGGTCTCGAGTCGTCTTCCTCGCTCGTTCCTCGTGCGTTCTGCTGGATTCGTCTCGCGCGCAGGCGCCCCGTTCCAGGAACAGCCTGTCCACAAGATGCATAGGTTGCTAGCACAGGAGGCCCCGCCTTGGACTTCGAGGCAAAACAGCTCCTTCCCGACTCCATCCTTCAGCCACGGGGACAGCCAGTAAGCAGAAATGTTCCATGCGGGGCACCCGAACCTCCAGCCCTGTCCACACAGCTAGCCCTTGATCCGCAGCCGCAAGGGCCAGAAAGACGGCCCCCAAATGCTAACCATAGCGAAAAACAGGCTGCCCTGATGTTGCCCGAGAAGTCGAATGTCTGGGTTGGGAGGGGGCGATTGGGGCGAACACCCCGGGGCGGAGCAACCCGTGTATCCAGGGGCGCCGCTGGTCCACATCTGCGGCGAAGCTCCCTGGCGAATACGTGTAATGCCCGCCCCTGGACGACGTATGCGATGAAAGAGCAGCACACGCCCAAACCTATCTGGAGGTGGACTGTGGAAGGGCAAGGCGGCAAAGACGCTGTATGACCGCATGCATGGGTGCGAGTTGGCGATCGCACCTATAGCCCAGGCGGAATTCCACCCTGAGAAATCTGGGAGTCGCATCGGTATCCGCCACCGCGCTTGCAGCGGCTGGTGTGTGCGTTGGGCCGTTCCCATTGCTGATGTGCGGCAGTGAGTTGGCACTCACTGGAGCCCCCCCGACGCATCGAGTCCACGATGCGCTTGGTTTTGTGGCCAAGGGTTAAGTCGGGCCTGTCCCTCTACAGGGGGGTAATCCAAAATAGTCACAGTAGTGTCTGGGGACAATTCGTTGACTTTTGTTTGTATGTTTTGAATACGGTTTGAACATGTTTCATTTGTCGCCCAAAACCCCCCAGTAAGGAGACAGGCCCGACCTAAGCCAAGGTCCTTGCGTATTTTTGTATGGGGGGGCCAGGCAGGAAGTGGTCCCACATACACAAGGGCTCCTAAGTTCGCGCTTCGCGCTGCGCGAAGCGCGAAGCGCGAATAACTTCGCGCTCTCGCGCCGCCCCCCAAGGGGGAGAAGAGGAGGACGAGGAGGAGGAGGAGAAGGAACGAGGACCGCGAAGCGCGAAGCGCGAATAACTTCGCGCCCTCGTGGGAGCTAGCGGAGGAGGGGGGGGGCCGTGGACCCTCCCTCGGAGCTCCCCCCCCCCGCCCACGACGGGAGCGAAAGGAAGAAGATTACATCGCGATGGCACAACGACAAGCACAACGACTTATATAGGCGACAGGCACGGCGAGACGGCGGCGACGACGACGGCGAGACGACGACGACGACGACGACGACGACGACGACGACGACGACGACGACGACGACGACGACGCGCGGGCGGCTAACGAGGGGGGCGTCCAAGAGGGGGGGGGCGCAGGTCGAGGCCGGCGGCGCGTGCGCGGTCCGGGGGGGGGGGCCAGGGACGTCATGAAGAACGGAGAGGCGCAGTGAGATCTGAGGGGGAGGAGGAGGAGGAGGAGGAGGAGGAGGAGGAGGAGGAGGAGGAGGAGGAGGAGGAGGAGGAGGAGGAGGAGGAGGAGGATGAGAACGGGGGGGGCGGCCCACGCCACGATATCCACCACCCTCTAGTCATCACCCCCCTCTTGGCCGACCGCCAACCACCCCCCGCCCGCCCGAGCGCGGTGGCGGCATCGCGCGGCAGCGCAGCTGAACGGGAGCCGGTTGTCAGCTCAGGCACTGGCCAGGGCAACAGGCTAAGCGCGATCATCTTCACGCCTGCTCGCCGCCCCCCCCCCTCCCACAACGGGACGAGAGACTCGCGCCTCGCTCTGAAATCGCCCAGACCACGAAGGAAGCGCGACGCACGACTGACTTCGCACCCTCGCGGCGGTCCTAAAATCTGTCCCCATCGTCGCCTCGAGTGGCCCCGTCGTCGCCTCGAGTGGGCCTCCCCCTCGCGCCAAGGGGCCGCCCCCCCCGGCGGCATGCCTCGGCGATACCCTCGTTCGACTTCTTCAGGACGGCGTCCACGCGGTGCCCGCCCTCCGCGCACTCCTGACGCAGAGGGGGGAGGGCGTGCGGTTCAAAGGCAAACTAGCGCGCCCACCAAGGACGTATGCTTAAGTCGGGCGTGTCCCCCAACAAGCGGATTGTGGACGAAACGTAAAAACAGCCAACAAAACATTCCAAACAAATGCCCAAAAATACTCCAAAAATCGTCCCCAAACTATTGTGTTGTATTATTTGAATATTCCCCCTGTAGAGGGACCGGTCCAACTTAAAACTAGCGCGCCCACCAAGACGTACGCGCCAAACCACGTGCACGAACACGGCCCCCCAGTCCGCGAGGCCAGCCAGCCTCGTCATACGAACGTTGGCGCAAGGCGTGCTCTCGTGGCGAGCGTGGACTCATGCACGTTTATGCCTCCTGTCGCTGCTGAGCAAACGACCCTGCCTCGCGTCTGGCAACTGCCGCTTCCAAACAAGAGCCGAACGATGCCCCGAGCTGCCCCCTGGGGTGGCCCGCAGTGGCCAGGCCGCTGGACGAGGAGGCGGGTGGTATGACTCGTTTTGCCCAGAAACGAAAGCAGGGTAAACACTTCACCCTGTTAGAGGAAGAAAAACGGCATAAACATTATCACAGTGCGACCCTACCTAGGAGTTGGAGCCCCTAGGAAAGCAGCATTAGTAGTAGCACTAAAGCTAAGCTAAAGCTAAGCTAAAGATAAGCTAAAGCTAAGCTAAAGCTAAAGCTACGCTAAAACTAAGCTAAAGCTAAGCTAAAGCTAAGCTAACGCTAAACTACAGCTAAGCTAAAGCTAAGCTAAAGCTAAGCTAAAGCTAAGCTAAAGCTAAGCTAAAGCTAAGCTAAATCTAAACTAAAGCTAAGCTAACCATACGATGAAGCTAAGTTAAAGCTAAGTTAAAGCTAATATAAAGCTAAGCTAAAGTTAAGCTACAGCTAAGCTAAATCTAATATACAGCTAAACTAAATATAAGGTAAAGCTAAGCTAAAGCTAAACTAAAACAAAGCTACAACTAAGCTAAAGCTAAGCTAAAGCTAAGATAAAGCTGAGCTAACTCTAAGCTAAAGCTAAGCTAACTCTAAGCTAAAGCTAAGCTAAGCTAAAGCTAAGCTAAAGCTAAGCTAAAGCTAAGCCAAAGCTAAGCTAAAGCTAAGCTAAAGCTAAGCTAAAGCTAAGCTAAAGCTAAAGCTAAGCTAAAGCTAAAGCTCCCAGGGGACTGGGGGAACCGCGCCCAGGGGACAGGGGGAACCGCCCGGGGCGCGTAGCACTGCCCGGCCCCTTTAAGCAAAGAAAGTAAGAACCCTTCTAGGCAGAGCCTAAGAATAAACTTTCGGCGCTCCGCGCGGATATTTTGGATCTGCGCCGGACGTCCCGCGCGCCAGGGGCGGCGCCAGAGGCGCCGCCGGGAGGGGCCAGCGCGGATCCAAGAACTGCGCGCGGAGCACCAAAAGTTTATGTCTGTGCATTTTTTCGTTTTCGAGGTCAGCCTGTTGACGAGGAGGCGCGTGGTATGACTCGTTTTGCCCGGAGACGAAAGCGTGGTGGAGGTAGGTCGGGCATGTCCTGCGTCAGGCGGACTTTGAAAGAACAATGCAACATAGTCAATCAAAAAAGTACCACAAATAAGACGAAAGGTAGACGAAAGATCCTCCCCGGACTATTCTTTGACCATCCTCGAGTTCTCCGCCTGTAGAGGGACATGCCTGTCTCAAAGGTCGGGGGCGAGCGGGGCGCGGCCACGCCGAGGCGCATCCATCGCGCACGCGCGCTCCACCCGTGCGGAGCGTCGTTGCCGCGCGCGCCAGCCGCCGCCGACCCGCCGCGGCGCCCGAGGGCGCGCCGCTCCCGCGCGCTGCCGGCGCGCCCTCGGCCGCCGGCGCGACGGCGCGGCCGAAGATGCGCGCCTGCTCTGGCCTGACGACTGACCATTGGAGGGCTGGAAATGGGCACCAACACCAACACAGGGGGTTGACTCCTCAGGGGGAAGACTATCCTAGATCTCGGTGTTGGTGGTAATACTTCGGCCACCTTGGAAGCCAGGCTATTGCCATCATCACCGAGATCGGAATAGTCTTCCCTCGGTGGAGGCCCACCGCCGATATTGGTGTTGGTGTCATACTCCAGGCCTGCGAGACCACCCCAGCCCAACCCGAGGACCTGAGTTTCGGGTTTGGGGCGGTTGCGGGCTCCAGATGTGCTTTCTAAGTGTTCCCCGCCCGACCCCCCCCGCCCCACTGGAAACGGACCAAGCCTCCCGCCCCTGCCCAGAGGAGACGCGTGGGGCGAGTGCCGTGGGGCGATGTCGGTCGTCTGGTGGAGAGTCCTGCTTGGGAAAGAGAGCGTCCTGAGGGGCAGGCCTCCTCCTCCACCTCCTCCTCCTCCTGGTTGACAGCCCTTCTGGTTTCCTCCTCCTCATCTTCCTCCTCCTCCCCCTCCTCCTCCTGGTTGACATGGCCCTTCTGGTCAACAGGCTTGGTTGATGGCCAGGACAGGGCAGGACACCCGCGTCGCGCCGAGACGCGCTCCGAGGCCGAGCGGGTGGGCAGCGCCGCGGCTCTCTCTGAGATCATTAGAGCGTGGCAAGACGTGCTTCCAGTCAGGCTAGCAGTCCTCTCCTCATCCTCCTCCTCCTCCTCCTCCTGCTCCTTCTCCTCTGCCTCGTCCTCCTCCTCCTCCTCCACTTCCTCATCCTCCTCCTCCTCCTCCTCCACTTCCTCATCCTCCTCCTTCTCATCCTCCTCCTCTTCCTCCTCCTCCTCCTCCTCCTCCTCCTCCTCCGGTTCGGCCAGGACGGGCCAGGACGTCCTTCTGGTGGGGCCCCCCTCAGGGGCACGAAACGTGCGAGGCGCGACACGCCTCACACGCTTCGTACCCCTTTTTCGGCACGCGCCTGGCACGTGCCCAACATGGGCGGATCGTGCGGCATCTGGCGAGTGCGGCTGAAGATAGACTTCCCGGAGGGGCACGAACTCTGTCAGGGGTGCGCCGAGATGGACTGGAGGAGGGGGGGGGGGGTTCTCGACCAGTGCCCACCGGGGCCGTGGGTGCAGCTCCCCGCAGGGGGGGAGAACGCGCAAAGATTGTGCCGAAATCGGCGGGGGCAGGAAGAGGAGGCGGAGGGCGAGGGCGGCGGAGGCGGGAGGGAGGAGGCGCGGTGCCACAGACAGAAAGGTTGGGAACAATGCGGGCCGAAGACGGAGGACGGCAGCAGAGCACGAGCGAACGCAGCATAGGGCTAAGGGCAAAACTGCGCAGCGTTGCCTCCTCGTTCTCCTTCTCCCGGGCAGGGCGGAGGAGGAGGAAGAGAGGGAGGGAGGGAGGACAAGTCAGGACAAGGGAGGAGGAGGAGCAGCGCCAGCAGCCGCAGGATTTCAGCAGTGATGTGCCTCCCTGAATGACGCCCGTCGGACTCCTGTGTGCGCCAACACGCGCGAACCGTTGCTGCCTTTCTGGGGGCCTGGGCCTATCACGCTTTCCAGGGCAGACGAGAGCATGAGCTTACAAAGATTGCTAGGTGCATTCTTGGACTGCGGCTGCTCGAGCGCGGAGCGACACGCTCATCGTGGCATGGGTAGTACAACCTGAGAAGGCATCATGCCTTGCTCATGACCAATAAGCTCGACCGCAGCTCGGTCTTGCTTAGAGCAATCATGCCTGAGCTCCACGTCGTCCTGCTCCAAAAGTGGTTTGATCCACATGCCTCGATGAACTCCACTCTTAGGGTCCATATAACTTTGTGGGACGTTGCACATTCAGCAATTCACCAGAGTATTTCGCATTGTGCGCGGTCAACAAAAAAACAACACATGGCATCTCGGAAAAACTGCAACGCAACGAACGAAGAACGGGACCAGTTGCGAAGGTGCCGTGAGCCGCTTCGGGAGCACTGGTGTGCCATACAATGGTAGGCACGCCACAAAAACTGTAAAAAATGCGCAACCAAGAATTTGATATCCTTCCTGCTGGCCCATGGGACTACGCAGAATCTTCTCCGCTACGAGACCCTGTGTTGGAATAAATATTACAGACTCCTGCATAACGATACTCTGGAACTTTGTTCGTGCCGTCGTCGTGGAACTTCTTCGGCCCAGGTTCCGGGTGACGCCGTCAGAGGCACGAACATGTGACCTCAATATCCTTCGAAGCATTCGAGTTAAAACCAGCTATGGAGCTGGTTTGACACGAAACGCATCTTGTTCGACATCCTTGTTGCATGGTGCCCAGGCAAATGACACATCACACGTAAATGTGTTGACGAGCTCAGGTACCTGGCAAGATTCGCACCTTGGCTCGCCGGACCATCCCATATATAGAAGTATTGGCACGTGTGGCGTCTTGCAAATGTTGGTTGATTACACGTCGCATGTTTGGTCTTGGGCAACCAACCTTCCCAAGTTGAAGGGTGCCGTTGTGCGGAGCAAGCTCGAGAAAATCGTTCCCTCAGACAACCTCCTCCCGACCCACACACGCGACGACCTGCAAAACCTTCGACGGGTCAGATGCACATTCCGCGCATACGTACACCACGCATGTGCACAGTAACCATATTCGCTTGAATTTCTCTATGCCAAAAGACGCGTTTACGGCACGAAGGCAACATCTCACATTGACACGCTTATTGATCAGGTTGCCGCTGCTGCATGATTCCCACGCCAAAGCGATCAGCTGAACACAGCTGACCCAGAATACATGTGTTGGTTGTCCTCAGATGCGGTTTGGAGCGATACTGTCTGGAGCATTCCCAGTAAACTCTCATTCCCATGTTTGCACGGACACATGTGCAGCAAGCCAGTGAGTAGCACCACAATCAACACCAATTCGGAGGTCGTGCCATATTGGATACAAACTGCTGCGAGCTAGATTCGGTCCCATGCTCTATACGCAGCTTCAACGCGATGATGTTGATGCTCGAACCCCGTGGAACTTCTCGGACAGAAGCTGCACGAGGGTCTCCCCGAATGCGTTTGGATTGGAGTTGACAAAGCCCCGCATGGGCCGGTGGGTATTCCATAGTTTTGGTATCTCGCACACCTGGGACGCGCGTTCATGGCAGATTCGACCCATAATGAATACATACCGCCCTCGATACACGGCCGAGATGGTTGCCACATTAAAACAAAAAATACGTATCGTGCCGCAGCCGTGGAGGAACCGCAAGCTGGTCGAGAACCAGCAGATCCCGCGCGCGCACCTTACGGTCAAAGACAATGCCTCTCTCTGGACGGTGGCCTTGTTGCCAACAAGCATCATGCACATGTCCGTGAAATTGGATCGAACGTTCATGCTACACAGCGTCATTGTCTTACACAACGGTGCTCGAACCATCAAGCTGGCTAAACGGCAATCTGTCGGCCCGAGCTGGACCCCGTGGAACCCAACTAAACTCCCACGGGTGCTGGGAGAAAACTGTGCTGGACCTAGCTCGGGTCGCCGGTGATGGGGGGTCACGCAAATGGGGGGTCAAAAATGCGCCCTTTTTGCACTCTTAAAGGGCCCTTTGTTGCAATGCAATTCTTTGTCCTCGGCGCCGCCATCCGGCCCGGCCCGCCTTTCGCGCTGCGTTGTGAACGCCGCGGTAAACTCCATGTGGGCCACAAAGAGCTCTTTTCTGACCGGCCCAAACCCGAGGGGTTACGCGGCGGCGCGAGGGCCGCGCGCGCGGCCGCTGCGCGCAACAAAAAGTGGATGCACTTTTTCGGTTTCCTCATTTCGTGCAATGCAGCATTGGGCCCCTTTAAGGACACGTTCGAGCCACTTTTTAATCCACTGGGGCAGTTTAGAGACAACTTTGGGACACTTTCATGCATTCCAACTTTTGGCCGCCAGCCACTTTCGGTGGGCGATGGCATGTTCAGACGAAAGACAGGTGGAGCCATGGGTGAAGCACTTAGTGAACCTGCAACGCTTGCAGACCTCGGCTCCAGAATGCGCCTCCACAGAAACGGTGCGTTTGCGAGAAGGCCTCGCCTTTCCAGAGCTTGCGGCGGACGACACGACACAGGGCCATTGTGCGTCGATGATGGTTTCTCGCGTATCCGATGCAGTTCATGCATCTTTGAAGCGTTGCAGCGAGTCGTCCCGCAGGACGTTGGCTTCACGTGCGAAGCATCCTCCCTTCCCCTCACTTTCCTCCAAACTTACATCCATCAACCCACATCGATTGCGTATGTTCGGTGCCATACGCACTCAAAAAAACAGGATTCCGCGACAGGATCAACAAATATACTCAAACAATCTAAGCTTCCAGTGTACGCTTCTGCTCCCGAGTTCCTGCCTCAAGGCTTTCTTGATTTCAATGCCTGGGAACGGTGTCTTAATATTGATGCGATGGGAAAGGGAAAACCTGATGGAACTGAGGCTGTTTGTATCGACCTGCTCACCGAGCCGCTCTGCCTGAAGTGGCCCGCAATATGATTGGGAAACATGTGTGTAGGCTTCCCCGCCAGCACGCCATGCGCGCCGGGCGGCGAGGGTGCCCGAGCGCGGGGGGCCGTGCGGAGCGGCCTGGGAGCGGTCGCGCGGCGTGCGCGGGCCACCCCTGGGGCTCACACATCTCTTGAGCCAGAATGGCTGCGGACCGCTCCAGATGTTTGGGAAGAAGATGAATGCGAAAGGCAAGACTACAAAAGCGGATATGCTGGAACACATTCTCCATATCATTACAGGAGGGGAACGGCCAGAAGACTGACCAGAATGCCGGCATACTTGCAACACTCAATGCAATCAGAGGAACAGGTGGTGGAGGTGGATCGGCATCCTCGTCCGCAGGTTCCACGCCCGAAGATGATAGAACTCTGCTTCGTGGTTTGATGGCCCAGCTTCAAGCGTCCGGAAAGACAGATGAGAAAGGACCTCAACCGAAGCCAGACCCAACGAGAGTGCGAAAACTGAAGATGCCAGGTGACCCGCCAGGGGCAGGAGAACCCGCAACGCCGACAACTGCAAAATGCGTGTACTGCAATTGCTAAGCAATGATTGCCAGATGCAAGCACGGAAGATGGCCAGCTGATGATCAAGAGCAGTTCATTTCAGGTATCGGGCAGGCGCCTGGGAGGACCCAAAACATTCTGAAGAAAGCCTAGTTGCCAACATACTCTCGCCAACCAGAGAGAAGAACAGGGACGAAATGTTGAAACAATTTGTAGAACACGTTGCAAACCAATATCGGATGCCGCGGACGAAAGTCCTCTGATGCGCTGATGCCGTCGGAGGTGGCGGCGCTTGACATGGATCCTTCGGATCCTCTGGATGCCCGTGGGTCTGGACTGCGATCTTGCAGCCATGGGACTCGAGCTCCCAGGCTGCCTGAGAACTGAAGCGTGTAAGTGGATCAGCTTGCTCACGATCCATATTTCTCTTTCCTGCCAGGAAGGTGTAGCAGCAGCAGCCGCAAGATTCCAGCAATTACACACCTCCCTGAATGATCCTGTCATCCGTGTGTTAGCTGTGCATCCTGCTGGGCGGTATAGTATGCCAACGCTCGTCCCTGGACTGTTTCAGGCAACGTGTGCGGTCGTCCCCCAGATTCTGCTGCTACCGCGTAGGCTTGGACACGTGTGGTGCGTGCATCTCGCAGTCCCCTTCCAATTGCAAGATCCTTGCTCTGCTTCACCTGTCAAATCTGCTGCGATACCGCTAGCCAGGGCGGCTCAGGACAGCGGGAGTGCGCAACTTCACTCTGCATTTGCAAGACCGTCACACGTCGGACGTCCCGTGTGCCAAGCGAGGTGCGGAACTCGGAACTCGGAGGTCCGCGGAAAGATGTCAGAGGGCATCGTTGCTGGGGGTGTGCACTACGCTAAAGACGCCGTGCAGACCAAAGACGCCCACGTTGAGGGGCCTGTGTGTGAGGAAAGCACAAGACAAGTTACAGCCAACACTGGATAGCTGGAAAGCCGAGGCTGCCGTCGAGATGCTGACAGCGTGGGGAGGGGGAGGGCGGGAGTGCCTCGGCTTGCTGGCTCCTTGCCTCTCCTCCTCTACCCCGCCTCGCCGTCATCGCATCGGCCATCCTACAACCAGCACACAAGAAGGAGCGGCGCATGCCGTTGAAGGGGAGGGGGGGGGTCAGGGAGGTGCCTCCCCGAATGGCCGAGGCCCGCAGCTCTGAGCGCCAAGCCTGGAGGAAGACGCAAGCGGTAGGGGAGGGGGAGGGAGGATAGAGGTCAAGAAATCCACCCCCAGAATAACCAGCCCGACACGCGAAGTCGTGTTGCAAGCGCGCCTGAAAAAGTAATCGAACAGGGTAGGGCTCTTCAATAAACGCCCAAGGCCGTTTCGTAAACGCCAACTCTCGGGTGAATGTTGCTTTCTTGACGCTACTGGGAGTGGGAGGGAGGAGCCTCCCTCCACCCTCGGAGGCTCCCGACCGGGCCTGCGCCCGCCCGCCACCCCGCCGGGCACGCCGAGCGCGGAGTCCTTGACGGAGGCCGGTGCGCACCTCTCGTCCAGGGCGTCGCACCAGTCGCCCGCTCCCGCCCGCCACCCCGCCCGCTCCCCGCCACCCCGCCAGGCACCCCAAGCGCGGAGTCCTTGACGGAGGTCGGTGCGCACCTCTCGTCCAGGGCGTCGCACCAGTCGCCGAGGCCGTCGATGGACGAGACGTCGTCGTCCCTGGCCCAGATGATCATGGCCGGGGCCTTGCGGGGCCGGGGGCATCCAGGAGGAGGAGGAGGAGGAGGAAGCGGAGGCAGGGGGGGAGCGGGAGGAAGAGGAGGAGGAGGAGGAGTTATTCTTCCTCCTCCTCCTCCTCCTCCTCCTGCTCCCCCCCCTCCTCTTCTTCCTCCTCCTCCACCTCCTCCTGATGCTCCAACTCCTCCGGGCCACGCTTAGGAGGTTCAAAGGCTACCTCGGGCCATTTGGTGGCGGTCTGGACGCATGTTGGAGGCATGGTGGAAGCCATTTGGACCAGGGCAATCCATAATAGGCGATTGCCATCTAAGAAACCATACGA